GGGGTCGGGGGTCCAGATTTGGTGCCGGGGTCAGACTCTACAGAATGGATTGCTTTTTCATAGTAAGGAGAAACTTTCTGCTGTTTTTACAACGAATAAATAAAAATCCTTTTCTTTATATATATATATATATATATATATATATATATATATATATATATATATATATATATATATATATATATATAGTTGATATTTATTCATGTGCAGAGTTAATTCCAGGCACTCCCCCCCCCTAGAAGGAAATGGAATTTATATAGAAAGTATATACTTCTACCAGTGTCCGGAAAATTTAGTCCGCCACCCCCCCCCCCCCCCCCCCCTCTCGAAAATATCAAGTGCCCTCCCTTCCCCCCTCGGAGAAAAAAGTCTGAAAGAAACACTGTACTGTATGTGTTCGTGCATGTGTAGTCTATGTATGTCACTTTGCGTGTGTTTGTCTGTGTCGCCCAGCATCTAAGCTATACACATTTATGTAATACATTAAAATTCCTTAATTTAATTTTTTTTTGCAACACCGCAAAGAACAAAGCTTCCATGTCGGCATGTCTAATGAATCGAGCCCTTAGCGCACGGGCATTTAATAGCACTTCCGGTGATGTTACATTAGATCACGTGAGAAGGAAGTGCGTCACTGGTAATTTAAAAAAAAATCCGAAACCAACAAATAGCTATTTTATCTGGCTGTCCAGAAACGAAATAAAATTCTTAAAATTAAAATGTAAAAAAACAAAATTAAAAAGAAGAAAAGATTCGGAAAAAAATATATAAAAATCCAATCAATACATGTGTAATAAAATCGAGGATATGATCGATCGATACGCTTGTAATGATCCATCAATAACATTTTTGTAACCTGCCCTAGTCTTGAAGCAGACGTGGAAGAGGGGTGGGGTGGGGTGTGGACACGGGTTAGGGCCTGGTTCAGTTGGTGTTAGCCAAACTCACACATCGAGGCCGGCCATTACTCAGCGGACATCCGAGAAGCGACAGCCTCGTTTGTCTTGGCCCAGCGTGCACAGCGCGTCCCCAGGTGTGAGTTGTCGCGATGGGTCACACGGTTCCTGCTCAGCTGTCCGGAGTGGCTTCGGACAATTATTATAGCAGCTTGGTGGTTTAGATCTTATAATTTTTTTTTTTTTTTTTTTTTTTTTTTTTTTTTTTTTTTTTTACGTTACACATGGTTCCTGCTCAGCTGTCCGGAGTCTCTTCGGACAATTATTGTTGCAGCTTGCAAGAAAATGTTGGAAATGGTGGTTTAGATCTTATAATTTTGGTTTCTTTACATTACACGCGGTTCTTTCTCAGCTGCCCGAAGTGGCTTCAGGCAATTATTGTTGCAGCTTGCAAGAAAATGTTGGTAATGGTGGTTTAGATCTTATAATTCTGTTGTTTTTTTTACATTACACATGGTTCCTGTTTAGCTTTCTGAGTTGGCTTTAGACAATTATTGTTGCAGTTTGCAAGAAAATGTTGATATGGTGGTTTATATCTTATAATTGTGGTTTCTTTACATTACACACTGTGTCTGTTTAGCTTTCTGAGTTGGCTTCAGACAATTATTGTTGCAGCTTGCAAGAAAATATTGATAATGGTGGTTAGGATCTTATAATTCTGTTGTTGTTGTTTTTTTTTTACATTACACACTGTGTCTGTTTAGCTTTCTGAGTTGGCTTCAGACAATTATTGTTGCAGCTTGCAAGAAAATGTTGATAATGGTGGTTTAGATCTTATAATTCTGTTGTTGTTTTTTACATTACACATGGTTCCTGTTTAGCTTTCTGAGTTGGCTTCAGGCAATTATTGTTGCAGCTTACAAGAAAAGGAAAATAATGGTGGCCTGGATCTTCCAATTATGGTTTCTTTAGATTACACACTGTTCATGTTTAGCTGTCCGAGTTAGCTTCAGACAATTATTGTTGCAGCTTGCAGGAAAAGGAACATAATGGTGGTATGGATCTTCTAATTTTGGTTTCTTTACATTACTTATACAGAGGCGGGTTGTATTGAAGGGAAAACATCAGGTTAAACGTACCTTGTTGTGTACCTAATAGTGTTCGAAAAAATTATAATCCCCTCTAATGTTTTAAAATGTTTATCTTAGTTTGACCAGCGAAACCGGGTTTATGGAGTATATGTTTTAGAATTGTAGGAAAATCTAGCATGAACTCAACATATGGCGTCGGACTCTATACAAACTGTTGATGTTTTTATTTTGTATTGAAGAATAAATCACTGCTCTAAGACCTTACATGTACATCGGTCTCTGTCTAAAGACCTCTCACTTGCACCATTAGCCCTTGTCTAAAGACCTACCAATTTCACGATTGGTCTAAATTTTTAAAGAACTGACACCATTGGTCTCTGTATAAAGACCTACCACTAGCACCATTGCTCTCTGTCTAAAGACCTGCCACTTGCACTCTGTCTAAAGACCTCTCACTAGCACCATTTCTCTGTCTAAAGACCTCTCACTAGCACCATTGCTCTCTGTCTAAAGACCTAGCGTGCACTATTCGTTTCTGTCTAAAGACCTGCCCCCAGCCCCATTATTCCACTATATCTTCCCCGACACACGGGTCACATAAACGATCCTCTCCCACCATGTGAACTGTCGATAACCTTTGACCCCGGCGCGAGCTCTCTCGGATACTCGATTCACCGGATGTTCGTCACGTACCGGCGCGAGCTCTCTTGGGGGCGCCCAAGTCACGTGGTATGAACCTCGTACTTCTGCCCTAATGGAGTCAGGTCTAAATGGGTCCTCTGACGACTATCCGGCTGATAAGTCCATGGTTAATTATCTTAATCTTCTTAGTCACTTACAAACACGACAACAAGTTAAAGACGTGTGCTTGCAATAATGCTAATATGGATTGAACTAAGGATTAACTAACAGAAAACAGAAGGAAAGTAAAGAACACTTTCAGAAGAAGTACAGAGGAAGTTGAGTTCGATTTATTTTAGGAAACAATTTGTCTGAAATCTTAATTAGAGTTCGTTGAACTCTGTATTTGATTTATTGTAGGAAATAATTTGGCAGAAATCCTAATTAGGGTCCGTTGAAATGTGTCTTGTTCATTTCATCAAATCCAGCTAATCTGTATAATCCTTGCAATAACCTGACGGTTGGTAGGGCAAGGTTAAGTAGAGTTTACGTTTTTGTATCTCATCATATAAGATACAGTGCTAATACTCAAGACAGGTACCCACCAGAGCTGGATAGACTCAAAAGTAAAAAGTAAAGGGTCTCTTTAGACCGACTGATCGAATTGGGTAGATGAAGTAGAGTTCATATGTTTCTTGACCTCTGCATTGAAGGGATGGTGTGGTCAACACTCTACCCAGGCACCTTTACTTTCCCCATAGTAAGTCAGGTACTCATCAGAGCTGAGTGGACTTCTACAGTTACAAGCCCGAATCGAGATCTGAACTCAACACATTCAGGCTAGCAGCCTAATGCTCTACCATTTGACCTTATCTGTTTTTATATTGATGGCACACAATTGATGTTAAAAACAGTTAAATAAACCCGTAAAGCCAAGTAACAGACTATTTTCTTGACTTCGACTGTGTATAATTAAGTAATGCTGCTCATAATGAGCTTTTTTAACAACAATTTTAGGTGGGTGTCCGGCGCGGCCGCCCCACCCACCTAGCTACGCCTCTGTAACTTACTGAGCTAACTTAGTGAGATAAAAATAACGTTACTCAGATGATAAGGAAACACAATCAACACAAATCTTGTAAGCACATTTTAACTTTCTTAAGTTTTAACAAAACCACTGATAATCAGATCGTTGGAATAATTATATGCGGTTTAAAAAACACATACAGATTTTCGAATTATTAAGCAACGTTTATAATTATATTTAATTCGCCTCGCTAATTAAAAAAAATGTTTGGCTGAGTCATGATCCTAGCTCGCCCCACATAGCTTTTAGTGTTTTAGATTTCTTTACTATGTAACGTGTACTGTCCTCTTTATCTGCTAGACGTGCTGTATTAGAATATAAGAAACGTCAAAAATAATTTAGCAACGAGTCCATCTACGATAATTTACGGGAAAATAACCCGTTTTTGAGACTACCATTCGTTTGAAAAATGACTCCGCATTTGGCTTAAATACATGTGACTCCTCTCTTCTGATCCCCTCCAAATTATTCCGACTCTGTCATAGATTTATCCGACACCACTATCAAGTCTGGGTAAAAATCAGTCTGTCATACATCATTACTTAGAAAACCTGTATCCCCCACCCCTAAAAAAAAGTTACTTTCATTCCTTCACTTTTTTTCTTCTCCCAGTTTTAACATACGCACGCTCAAAATGGCCAAGAAAAGGGCGAGGATCAATTAGATTCTCCGAATCTGCTATTTGATTACGGGCCTTGGTCGCCCAACGTCCCTTATTACTCGTCTCCCCTGGCTTTGTGTTTTCATCTGGAATGCAAACACGGGCGTCCCAGCGCTCATTTCTGTGTGAACGTAAACTACGAGACGTCAACACGCGCATATGTTTATTGCTGCGCCTCCTCTAAATGAAGAGAGGGGAGAGAAAAAAAAATTATAAATAAAATGAAAATAATAACAAATCTGGAATAGCATACCCCAGCCCTTACATTCCATCTCTCCTATGCGGAACCTCACGTTCGTTCCTCCTTATAACAAGTTAAAACATTCATCATTGAATTATTATTCGTGTGGATATTCCCGGTCAGCCCCGATATTATTTTTTGTAATAAAGCGACAGAAAAGCGGCCGGTTAAGCTTTCTTTAGATCAGCGAACCACGCTAAAATAAAAGCTGGGCAAAGTTGGCCAGGTCCTTTCACAAACCTCAAGTCAAAGTCGATAATTTTCAGATGGTTCTTTTTTACAGCTATTTTCCAATCTTTATATACTAAAATACGTTTAAAAATTTAAGAATAAAATACTATTATTTTTTTAAACATTATTTTCACAACAATACATTAACCTTTTTTTGTTCTCTGTCGTGTAGATGAATATTTGAACGGATAAATCATCACAGCTAGGGAGGCCCACAGATAATCGATAGGAAACAAGGAATTAGGAGAGAGCATGGACTGAAAGACGGTCGTCAAAATCGTCCACCCCTCTCGGCCAATCCACCACCACTTTCTGCACCACCAGCGCAATCATCAAACATCTGCTGCTGAGGCCATAACTCTACTGACTGTTTTGTTTTGTTTACGTTTCAATACACGTCTGGCCCGATGGATGTGACACGAGCGTGTTGCGTGTGTGTGCTTGTGGTGTGTTGTTTCCTGGGATGTGTCGCTCAGGCGGAGGACGGAGAAGATTTCCAGGATATGATGATCCAGGTAGGGAACAGGTCATTGATTATAATTTATGGTAATTTATGGTAATTTATGACGTCAGCAAACGTCAATAATGTACATGGTGTTGCCCAGGTTGTAAACTTGAAGCTACAGAGCTACAAGCTACACTTTACAAGGAGAATATATATATATATATATATATATATATATATATATATATATATATATATATATATATATATATATATATATATATATATATATATATATTTCTTTGAGTATGTAAAAGATATTTGCCACTATAGTGTGTATGGAAAAAATAATTGAAGCTTTAAATAACGTTTTAAAACATGGTTTTTACAATGAGTAAAATCCAAACTAAAAATAAAATAGTACAAATTTTACGTTTTTATGCATGAAGGATAACACTATTTTTAGCTTTAGCGTCTGGGCTAAAACTAGTGTTAGGTTTAGGGACGAAGTACATTGTTTCTATTTTGGCTAGGGTTACTCTAAGGATTAGTGTTTAGGGTTGAGTTTAAGGGTAGATATTTATGTTTGATTACACTAAATACGAATGTATTTGTATTTATAATATATTGTGAATATATAAGGACGACTATTTACCAAGTATCATAACATTTCAGTTTTAGTATAGGTCCCTAATTTTTTTTCTCATATTTTTCAGAAGAGTGAACACAGCATCGAGGTGGTAGGTGAGTACCAAAAATATCCATATACATATTTTTAACGGTTATTGTTTGGAATTTTGTTGCAGGTTGTAAGAGAGTATTTTGTTTTAAAAAACGTAAGCTTATTTTTAAAAATAAAACTTTTGTTGGACATTGTTCTTGGATAAACTGTTTTATCCAGTAAGTATTAAAATGGATTAAAAATTATACTCTTTTTTTTTTCTTTTAAATTTTAATATCTTAATACAGGAACATTCACACAAAAAAACAACAACAGAAAACCAACATTCGTACTAATTAATGTCTAATAGTAGCATAGTAAAACGGGGTTAATGACTTCTTCAATTCTTCCAAATAACATACATTACCATATTTACAGGTATTTAAAAAGCATTGTCTTTTTAAAATCGTTAAGAGTATATTTAAACATTTATCTATAGATTTTTTTTTCCATTTCCATTTCTGAATTAAGAAGCCCCAATGGTCCACATAAAAAGGTGCATTATTAAATTTACAGGCGCGTGCTATTATTATTAAAGTCGACGCTGTTTAGAGAAAAATAAAAGTTTCCAAACTAAATTATGTAAATTCTATACAACAAAGTTAAAAATTATGTCACGGCAATATCCGCCGAAAGAAAATTGTGCCAAAAAATAAACTTGATGCTTTTTATACAAAAGACAAATGGATTTATTGTTCAGAGAGGATTAACTAGCTTTAAAAACCTTAGAAAATGTACAAATTCAATACAACTGTAAATAACATTTATTTTTTTATTAACTAAATATTATTATATTTGTTTTGAATAATAAAATGTTCCCTTATTAAATACACGAATAAAATTGACAAAACGTTTTGAATTATTTATTTTTCCTAATAAAAATATACTTTTATAAAACTTAACGTTATACTCAATTTTAAATAGCATTTTAAATCTTTTTCAATTAAAAATACACAAGATTCCTGTATCAAACTTATTGTTGATTGGCTACTGAAAAAAAAATTGTATTGGCTACTGAGCGCTAGAATTTGTTTGGGAGCCTCTCCTTGTTGTTGAATTGTTGTCCGGCCTTAGACAGGTGCAGTGACGTGTGTCACCCACACCACAACCACAGCCTAACCGGCCGCTGTCGACAATCTTATTTTCTTTCACGAACAAGACACATCAATTAAATTCTTGACCGGGTTGCGGCCCCTCGTCCTCGTCCTCTTGTTGTCTCCCCTCCATCATTGAACGGTCTTTGTTGTCCAGTGGAGAACAATCGACCCACACATTTTCCCCCCTCACTCTTCACTAACCACCACACATTTTTCCTCCACACCACACATGTATTCTAAAACTTCCTCACACTCCCTCACAAAAACAATTCCACTTTGTTGATACCGAATTTTCTAAGTTTAGTTCAACTTTGAAATGAGTTCATCATTTTTTTTCTCTCCCCTTCCCTCACTATATTGTTTTCGCCCCAAGTCAAGCTATTTCAACTGGTGAATGACATATGACTTGAGTCAGTGGTGGCTAATCGATCAACTGCCGGCGGTTGTAATCACACTCAGCGGTAGTAAAGGTGGCCAGAATACAGGGGCGTAGTCATGACGCCCCCCCCCCCACCCACAGCCATAGGGGTGGGGGGACCATTTAACTCAGAGGTACAAAAGGTGGCCAGGATACAGGGGCGTAGTCTTGACCCCCCCCCCACCCCCCTCCCCCACAACTATAGGTGTAAGGGGCACCCTAGGGGGACCCTTTAACCCAGGGATCAAAATGATCTGATACAACACATATACATACACATACTCCACAGCGTATTTAAATCAGTCACATAGGCATATCTCTGTATACATAAATACATATTCCTTTAGAAACTTGTGACTGGCTTATCTAGTGGTCTGGATTCTTGTATTCAAACTAATAAACTTCCAATAGATAAAAAATAAATATATACTAAAGCAACTTTTCTATATAATATATTTCACGAAATAGACCCTTTTTACTTATCAGGCCTATTTTCTCTTAAAACAAAATTAAGTCGTCGTCTTAGTTTACCTATTCCATATACAACTTTTTTTCCCAAAAACATAACTTCCGCCTACTCTGATTCTAATTTGCGGAACAATTTTCCGAATAAAATAAAACTATCATCTGAAAATATATCCAAAACTAAACTAACAAAACAACTATTTCATGATCTCTTTTAAACGGACTCATTGCGACATTTCTCATTCACCTATTATATTCTAATTCTATCCCATTGTGTATTATAACTATATCATATTATTTTTTTATTCCAAATTTTTAAAACGTTATTTTACTACTACTACGTTTTTACAACTTACTTCCTTTTTTATTAAAATGTTTTTTTCTGTTTTAAACGGCCAATGTGAAAAAAAGGCCTCCGTGCATACTGTTTGTTATCATTATTATATAAAGCTAAGTAAATAACTAACTAAAATACATACTTGCACCCTACCCATCTCCACATTCTACTACGCCTCTGTCAAGCAGAAGTTCCCCCAACTCTCACCATATTCCCATTATTTTAACAGATCTTTAGTCTTGCCTTCTGGTAGAGTAGCGTCTCTGTCGGTAAATTTAGTACGCTAGTGTCCCTATCGAGGTTAGGTCATGGCTAAAAGTTGTATATTGAATAGTGTATTTAAAACATAAATTGGGATATATCAGTAGTTGTGTTAGTGGGACGGCGTGGTCGAGTCAGTAAAGCTCAGTGTTGCTAGAGCGAAAAGTCTGGAGTTCGAATCTTCGGTTGGAAAAAGGCTTTGGAGGCAAATCCAAAAAGGAAAGCAGGTTGAAATCGGAGTCAACGGCCTACAGGGCGCATAAGTTGACAGGTAATACTCAATTGTGTTGGAGGGAATACCTACCAACACTTGAATTAAGAACGAAGATGGTTCGTGTTAATTTAACATAATACAACAACCTCTTCCACCGATAAAATAAACATCAACAAAAATCAAACTTCTAAGAAAGACGTTTTCCTTTTTAATATAACTATATTTATGACCCGACCTTCAATAAAGCAGTTGGTGTTGAGATTCTGTCCACGATACTAAAGAGTCTGCTCAGCTTTCGTTTACAGTTAATAATATTGTTTTGGTTGGGTACCTAAACACAGAGGCGTAGCGAGGGGGGGGGGGCGGGGGGGGGGGGGGCGGGGGGGGCGGGGGGTGCGGACCGCACCGGGTGACACCATTTAGGGGGTGACACCAAGGCAAAAAATAGCAAAATATATAGAGAAAAACTTGAGGGGGTGCAAATCGAAAGTTTGAGGGGGGAGGGGGTGCAAATCGAAAATTTGAAAGTTTGTCCCCGGGAAGGGTCACTACGCCTCTGGGGGGTGACACCATTAAGTGCCGCACCGGGTGACACCCGACCTCGCTACGCTACTGCCTAAACAGCTGGGTGGACGCAGGCATTGTCTACTGACTCAATTCGGGATCCGAACTCGAGACTTGAAAATCAGTAACCTTTCATTCTAGCTATAAAATCAATTCAGCTATCAGCTATTTTGTAGCAGTTTGCACACTAAAACTGACAGCTTGGTGTTCTCCTGGAGTAGAAGAGTACCCACTGTTGATCAGTTAACACGCAAAAATCCATGTTGAACAACTGCGCAGTTTCGTTTTGGCAACTTCCGGTCTAGCGAGTGTCAAACCCTAGCATCCGCCTCTACAAATTCTGTATAATCAGTTTTATAAATGGCAGTTGTTTACTTGCTGGAGGAGTGCATAAATTTAAGCTGTAGATCGGATGCTGTAGGGGGAGGGGGACGGGATGAAAGAAGGAGGTGTCTACACATATTTTGAGTGAGGCTTTGTTTAGGATTTGTATAACTGTAAGCAGCGCGACTACAGGGAGAGCCTGGTGATATAAAACCCATTTGTGAAACAAGAATTAGGTTGTGAGGACGGTGTCGACTTTTTTTTTCTTAGTGCCAGATAAAATAGAGCCCAGCGTTTGAAGTATTAGGGAGGGGTCGGCGCGGTCGAGCCGGTAAAGCTCTGGTTGCTAAACCGAAAGGTCTCGAGTTCGAACTATTTCTATTCTGGACTCTAGTAAGCCTAAATTATAACAATTTATATTAAACTTTTGGGTTTCTTGCATTTATTGTCTCTCAATTCCCTCTGAAGTTGCAGCTATTTGAAGTAAACTTTCGTCCCGTGGTCGAGTCGGTAAAGCTCATGGTTGCTAAACCGAAAAGTCTCGAGTTCGAACCCTCGGGCAGATGAGGCTCGTTAGTTGGGGACAGCCACTCTTCTAGGAGAGACAACTCCAAAATTAAACAACATCTGCCTTGTAGTGTGTTGTATGTTGGACAAAGGCTATGGAAGCAAATCCAAAAAGTTAATGGTCTCAACGGCGCATAACCAGTTGAAACGTATACTCAATTGTGTGTGAAGGCATCTCTTCCTACACTGAAATTAAGAACGAAGAAGAAGAAAGAAGAAGTAGTAGGTGCGGTGAGGCTTATCAGTACACCGCTAGAAAGTCTCGGGTTCACTCAGTTCTGATTGGTACCCGACTCACGTTAGGGAAAGTAAAGGCGACTGGGCATAGTGCTGGCCAAACCTTACCATCATATGCCTAGGTCAAGTAACAAATCAACTCTTCTCCATGGGTTCCCAACCTGGGGGTCGCGACCCCCAAGGGGGTCGCGAAGTGCTTTCTGGGGGGTCGTCTACTGGTAGGCTAAACTCTAGCAATGAATAAAATACATAAATATTTAGAAAAATATTGGAAATTCGGCATTACTAACAGCACTTGAAGTGGAATAGAGAATAAAAAAATTGTACTGTGCAAAGTTGTTCTTAGTCAGGAGTCTATGAAAACTTCCAAACGTCAATTTGAGACGAGTCATTCGGAACACACCAAAAAAGATATGTAGTTCTTTCGTCGGCATGAAGCTAGTTGCAAACGTCAGAGACTTGATCGAACAGAACGTTTTCACCAAGAAAACACAGCATTAGTGCAAGCATCATATGAAGTAGTATTAGAAATTGCCAAGCAAAAAACCTCTCACACAAAGGGGAAAATCTCATCAAACCATGTATGCTGAAGATGGTAAAATTAATTCTTGGGGATTCCAGTGCAGTAAAGATGCAACAAATATCTCTGTCTAATAATACTATGCAGCGGCTTATGTTAAAAGACAAATTTAGAATGAAATTAAGCTTTCACCATTGTTTGATTTTCAAGTTGACGAATCGACAGACGTGAGTTCGTGTTCGCAGTTGCTTGTCTTTGTGAAATATATGCATTCAGATGTTAGCAAATAAGGGTTGATGTTTTGTGAAGATATCATGGAGAAAATAAATACGTTTTTTGAAACTGGAGGATTAAAATGGGAAAACGGCTGTGGGGATTGTACTCATGGTGCGTCATGTTTTCAGTGTCAATAGGAAATGTCAATCGTGTTTTTGAATTGAAAGAAGAAATCAAGATGTTCTTGGAAGTGCAAGGAAACAAGACCTTTTGATATACTTTAACGACATGGTGTGGTTGGAGAGAGTATCATACCTAGCAGATATATTCGAACATCAACCTAAGCTTAACCTGATAAAGGAACGAATATTATCTCTTTTCATGATAATCTCTTGGCATTTTTATCAAAGCTGCAAAATTGGCGAGAAAAAATAAATATTTGAAATACTGCCATGTTTGAGAAACTCTGCAGTGTGGTGTGATAGATAAAATTTTTAAAGGATTCTGCGCATCTTGAATCTCTTGACAACGAACTGCGGCGCTATTTCCCTGAGCTGAAAGAAGAAGAATCTGCATTGTCATCCATTCTCTGCTTTCCTTGATGTTACCAGCATTGCCGATGAATAACGAGATGAATTCTTAAATTTGCAAAATTTAATTGTTAATGCTAGTTAATGCTTGTTAATAGCATGTAATTTTGATCATCGTATTAAAACAGTTATCACGAATAATTCATATTGAATGTCTACTAGAAAATACTAATTTAGTGCTTATTATATTCTTTACTAATTTCGGCTTGTTAATTATATGGGGTCGCGGGTCACTTACGTTTTATGAAAGGGGGTCGCCACTCGAAAAAGGTTGGGAACCACTGCCCTATTAGATCGCTTATGTTTTTTATATGACGTTGTATAATGGTGTGGGGATGTAGTGATGTATTTAATATTGTCTCAAAACGCTCCGCATGCAAATCTTTGTACTTAGGAACAACAGGCAAAAGATTTTAGAAGTATTATAAACATTTATAGTTATCAAAGTTTGAACATTGCTAAATATTAACAAAAGTTGAATTTTTCAAAAATTCTTTTCTTTATCATTAATTGGAGACTCAAAAAGCTTATAAGTTTAAAACATGTCTTTAATTTCTCGTGAATTCAGCAAATTGAGAATTTCATTACTGATCCCATTTAGCCTTTTTTTAAACGGGTTATGTATTTCAAATTACAAAACCCCCATAAAAAAACGTTTACATACCTTGCAGTTCAGTAGTGTTCACCGATTTCTTTAATAGCGGCATATGAAGGGGTAGTGTAGTCAGCACTATTTCTACTCGCATATACTTACCCCAACGTGTGTACAGTACTCGTCAGAGCTAAGTGGCCTCAGGTACATTCTACGGGTTTGAGCCAGGAATTCAACTCGAGACTTTTGAGTTAACAGCTATGTGCTCTACCATCCCACCACACCCATTAATGGTATTTAAAAAATATGTGAAATAAAATAAATTTAAGTCATGGATAAGACTGCTTGCGATTAATCGGTTTTTATTGCTTTGACGGTTATTATGATGCAGCTGTTAATTTTAGTTTACAGCCAAACTGACAAGATTTTTATGCCCCGGATATGACAGTTACATCCCTTTCGTGAAATAATTGAGTCATCCGATTGATATATTTAGCTTATAATCCGGTCCCTCCACCTAAAAAGTGTTCGCAGAATAAATATTATAAATAAACCCCGATTGACAAGATGTGCGAGCCAATCCAGCCTTACAATTAGATTCGGTTTCCCTGGCCAGATCGGTACAAAAAAAAAACATGCCAGACAGAGGTGAGCCTACACTGGCCAGAACAGTTTTTATGTGGTTGGTGTCACGTGACTGTCCACGTGCGTTGACAGCCTCGTTCGTCAGAACGTGACCTTGTTGTTTGTAGACACGACAGGGGCAAGTACTCTCAGTGAACGTATGACGTCAACATGTTTTTTTTTATCGGTAGTCTCGCATATCAATGTTGTCGGTAAGGTGATATAGTCGTCTGTCATTTGTGGTTGACAGTGTCAAATTAATCCAACTTTTTTTTTTCTATATTAATCTTTTCTTTTATTGATAATACAAAGTAGGCCCTATATTAAAGTTAATTTTTACAAGCTTTTATATTACAAATTAAATACAACCATACAATTCTAATAACAGTAATAACAGTCCCCCCCCCCCACTCCTAACTTCAATTAGGCTTAATACAATCTTGTCAAACTAACAATCTCTACTCAATATAAACATTAATTAAATATAAATCTGGCCAAAATAGAAATCTATAAATAAACATCTGGGCATAGTGCTGACCACACTATCCCTTCATATGCCGAGGTAACAGAACCAGGTGAACTCTACTTCACTTGTCCCATGGACCGTCAGGTTCGAAAAGTAAAATTTATATAAACGAAAAATTAAAAAAAAAAAAAAAACTTGTAAAAATTACAATCTGTATGTTAACATAAATTACCTGTATATTAACATAAATTAAATAAAAATCAGGTAAAAATAACAATCTCTCCATAAATTAAATAAAAACATGATCTTACAATCTCTATCCTAATCATTGACTGTCATTGCAGCTAATCCCATCATCAATAACCATGATTCAATTAGTCATCTTAATCAATTCACTCTCCTGTAAATATATCAAGCACGATAGAGTTAACACAAACTCAGTACAACAAATCATGATATCCTTTATTCTAGTCGCGCGACAAAAGCCACCTACTCATATCATGTCAATAACCACTTTTTCGTCAAACGACCAATACCTCTTATAATATTCACAAAAAACAAAATACACATGTAATCCGCAAGTATCCGGTACAATTACGAATATTCTAGACATGACCTTATTTTGTTACAGATAATGACCCCGAGTTTCTGGTTGGTGTCAAGGGCGTGGACAAGCCGCTGTGTTTTCATATGGAAGGACTGACCAATCAGGTCATCCGTTTGTTACAGGATCCGGCGTCAGGTAAGTTTGACCAATCAGATCAGTTATAAGATCCGGCTTCAGTTAAGTTTGACCAATCAGGTCATCCGTTTGTTGCAGGATCCTGCGTCAGGTAAGTTTGACCAATTAGGTCATTTGCAGGATCCTGCGTCAGGTAAGTTTGACCAATCAGGTCATCCGTTTGTTGAAGGATCCTGCGTCAGGTAAGTTTGAACAATCAGGTCATTTACAGGATCCTGCGTCAGGTAAGTTTGACCAATCAGGTCATCCGTTTGTTGCAGGATCCTGCGTCAGGTAACGTCAGGTAAGTTTGACCAATAGGGTCATTTGCAGGATCCTGCGTCAGGTAAGTTTGACCAATTAGGTCATTTGCAGGATCCTGCGTCAGGTAAGTTTGACCAATCAGGTCATCCGTTTGTTGAAGGATCCTGCGTCATGTAAGTTTGAACAATCAGGTCATTTACAGGATCCTGCGTCAAGTAAGTTTGACCAATCAGGTCAGTTATTGCACCTTGCGTATGGTAATTTTGAACAATTAGGTCAGTTATATGACCCTCCGTCAGATAAGTTTGACCAATCAGGTCTCTTATAGGATCCAAGGTCAGATAGTTTTAGATTAGATTCATCTTATTTGTAGTCAGTGGCGTAGCCAGGATTGTCTCAAGGGAGGGGTTCCAATTTTTACCCGAGGACAAACTTTCGATTTGCACCCCCCCTCAGACTTTTCATTTGTACCCCCCTCAGACTTTTGATTTGCACCCCCCCCCCCTCCTCAAACTTTTGATTTGCACCCCCCTCAAACTTTCGATTTGCACCCCCCTCTCATACTTTATATATATACCGAGGGATCTATTGGGGGGGGGGGTTATGACCCCCCCCTACCCCCCCCCCCCTGCCTACGCCACTGTTTGTAGTCAATATTACATTGTCGGGAATATTAGGTACATCTTTGCTCCACCTGAGGCTTAAGCCTTAGAATAATTTGGACTCATGTGCACAACAATTAGGATGAAGGCATTATCTGTATCAGTTTAGCCTGGTAAAACCTCAATTGAAATACCGTGAAATACCTAAACTTGGTAGAAATGAAAAATCAAGTTCGAATTTATAACGTGGTAACGTATCATGTAATCTACACTACTGTTTCTATTTTTCTATTTTCGCGAAATTATTGCGTTTTCTAAATAACTAATTTTGTAATGCTTCAGTCGTTATTGATTAATTGAAGTGTCAAATGTGATTCTTCTTGCTGTTTCCTAGTTCATCATTTATTAGTTAATTATCTTTTTCCACCTTATTTTCCTAATTAATCAGGGATTGTAAAATCTAATAAAAATTTTAGCCACGGGAAATTGTTGACAGTTTCTATCACTTTTTATGTCACAATTTCCTGGGAGGAAAAAAAAAAGGTTTGTTGGGATGGAGTTGCAAGACAACCACAACGTAACGCGGATGGGTGTTGTTGGGAAGCCTCTGTGGCCGATCTTGACTTTTTATTCTTTTCGCTCTGAAAATAGAACAATTATGTTTTGCAAATTTAGGGATCTTGCACCAGTAATACAATAGTATGTTCTTTTTAAATCTACATTTACTTTGACTTAATCCCATGAGGCCCATATGATGCCCGTGTGAGGCCTCTATGATGCCCGTGTGAGGCCCCTATGAGGCCCATGTTAGGCCCCTATGAAGCCCGTGTGAGGTCCTTGTGAAGCCCACTTTTTTAACGTACCCGATTTTAGTCAACTCTCTTCCTATATGCCCAAAGCACTACTATTATATCGTTGTACAACTTTTTATCGACCCCTATCCCACGTAATTATAAACCATTTGTATGAATCACTCATGTATCTGAAAACTTATTCAAACCTTGGCGAAAGAAATACTATGTGATTTGTAAAAATAAGTATGGGTACAGGATAGTTTTGCAGTTGAGTCACTTGCTTCTTCTTCATAAAAACATTTGTAAAGTAAATAAAAGAACGAGTGTGTAATTCAGGTATGTCAGATTAATCATTGAAAATTCAGAAATTTCACAAAAATGTAAGTCAAGAATGTCAAAGGTAATAACCCTTAATACAACATGTGTCAACTAACCCTGCAACAGTTGAAACTATACTTCTAAATGATAAACCGTTTCGACACGTTTTGCGTTATTTGTATATTTACACGCCCATTTTAAGCAATTTTTTTGCAATATTTAAGAGAGTAAACACATAGCATTGAGAACAAAAGATATGACCAGTTTTAGATAGGGGTTTAAGCTTTTGTTTGTTGTAGTTCAAAATTTTTTTTCGATCAAATGTTTTGTCTTTGTAGAGCTAATGCAGCTAATGGTTTGGGCTGTAATAAAAAGATTTGAAAAAAAAATTAACTTGATATATTTTTCTATAAATTATAGACAAGCTCTTAGGTTAGAAAAAAAATACACAAATCTAAACTGACCGAATTAGAACTCAAGTTTTACGCTGTTACTTCAAATGCTTTTGCTCCTTGCGTGGTGTTAATTTATAATGAAACATCAACAACAACATTTTAACACGAGATAAATGGCCCGTTGAGGGAGAGATACAACGGGCGCTAGGTTGATAGTGTTGTCTCTTTTCTCTAAACCAAAACCAAAATCAAAACCAAAAACACCACCTTAACTTCAGATTGAACCGGAAACTAAAAAAAGACATTGAAAACGGATTTTTTTTTTGTAAACATTGCTAACTCAATGTTTACTTTCTCCAGGGATCATCGTCAACGCCCGCACATTTCTCGATGACGCCACCAACAAGACCTACCTCGGCGCCATCATGATCTCCCAGGGCAACTTCCGGCTGATCGCCAAGCAACGCGTCGTCATGGTCAACGAGTCCAAGTACGACTGGACCAACGAGACGGTGCTCAACTTCCCGGGACAGAAGATCTTCGTCATCAACAACAAGGCCATCGTGACCTTCTGGAAGAGGAACATCACCTTGGTCGTCAGGCGGCACTTCGCTACCGTCGCCGACCAGGCGGATTCCGAAGAGGGTGATGTCGACGATGGGAAGAAAATTCGAGACAACGAAGAAGGGGGGAATATCAGTGAGGAGAACGGGGAGAATAAAGGAGATAACCCTATGTTCGCGAGTAACGGAGAATCGAGGGCGGAAGTGATCCCGGTGTTCGGGTTCGCCGAGCGGGATAGTTTCTCCAACGGGGTCTTGTCTTCCCAGAAACACAAAGGGGTCATCATGCATAATTTCGTAGGGGTCAACCAGGATCAGACATTCGTCCGGAATTTATTCGTCGAGGTGGACGGGCAGAAGCGGAGAAAACGAAGTTTAAGGTCGGAGAGTTTTAAAAACCTGAAGCGCGGGGACGCGGATGATTTTAATTCCCGCCCGGGGGAGAGGATGCAGTACGAGTACAAAAGACAGACGCCCGGGGGTCACGGACAGGATGAGAAACAGCAGTACCGGCAGCTGGGGGAGATGTTCAGCCTTCAGCAGAAGAGGCCGGAGACCCAGGGGCGTCGCCAGAGGGAGACGGAGGACGACTACGTGCTGGACGACACGGACATGAAGAAGGACAGGACCATCTTCCTGGGGCTCTACGTCACGGACTTTAGAGACCTCTCCAACAAGACACACGGACTTCTAGGTGAGTCAGTTACCTGTGGAACTTTTAAGGGCTTATGATAGAAGTTCTCAGATAGAGGTCAATGTATTCTTAAATATGATTATAAATAAAAAAACTTTAAGTCTTTAAACATCTATTTTGAGGATAAAAAATGTTGGTGTTTTCTAATGACTACTTTATTTCAAGACACTTTAAATCTTACAAGACATCTAGTTTTCAGAAAATAGTTTTTGTGTTATTTAATGAAGGCTACTTTATTTTAAGACACTTCAAATCTTTATACACCCTTTTATGGATTTTTAATTATGACTACCAAAATGTAAGATACTTTAAATATTTTAAAACATCTTGCTGTTTAACCTCATCTTTAAGATACCAAACTTAAGATATGTCACACCTGTTAAGAGCTCTAGTTCTTACTTATTTAAGATATCTGTATTTCAAGACACTCAAAATTCGTAAGACAAACTAGATCTAGTTGTATACATTCTTGAAGCAGCTGATTAAAACATTTATTTTTATTAAAAGTATCATTTTAAAATATCTAGATCTACATATTTTATTGAAAACAAACACAGCTCGTTACACTTCTAGATCTAAATAAAGTATTTTTTTCATATGATGCAATTAATCTAGATATGTGAGATGGATACTTTTGAGATTCTTTTCTTTCAAAGTTACATACAATTTTAGTTTAGGTTCTCAAAATTTGTTAGAAATGGTCATATTTTTAGCAATTCCTCTACTTCACGATCTTATAATTCCAAACGTCAATTACCATTAAAAAATAACATTGATTTTAGCTTAATAGTAACAACAGACCTGTTAGCAAAACTCACAATCTTATCGTATCCCTTGTAATGAAACCCTAATCGTTATCAATTAAAAATGCCTTGAAGCTTCCTTTGTATAAAAGTTGGGTTGTGGAGTAGGCCTATTGGTGCACTATAACTATATTTACAACCGTTTCGTTGTAAAAATGTTAGAAGGTTTTCAAAGGTCCGGAGATTAGTAGAAAAATACCAGAGACTGCTGTTTAAGACTAATTATGTAATTTATTAGGACTATCCCTTTTCTACGTGTCTTTATAAATGTATGTTTATCCTATTATTTAAACAATTTAGCTTCACAAATGTCGTTATAATAAAGTAGTATTTTATGTGCATTATTACAACAACAAAAATTTCTTCGAACGAGACCTCGCTGATAAGCTTTAGGATCTAATTTATCAATGTTATTCCTTCTAGAAGTTGTCGTCTTACTCTTTTTGGACAACCACTTCAAAATTATCCTCATATATGTTATGTAATTTTTTTATTAGGACAATATTTCTTTAAAAAAATTCCTCATATTGGTTTCGTAATCTACTTTAGTAGGAGATTTTCTACTCAAAATGTCTTAATGTGTTGTGTAATGTACTTTATTAGGAGAATGCCTCTTCAAAAGTGTCCACATATTTGTTGTGTGATGTACTTTATTCGGACATTTCCTTCTACTTTACCAGGCCAATTCCTCTTAAAAATTGTCCTCATATTTATTTTATCTACTTTACCAGGACAATTCCTCTTCAAGAGCGTGCTGATCGAAAAGATCAAGTACAGAAACGGCAGGACGAAGGCGACGTTTCTGGTCAGCGGGAACCCCGAGCGCCGCACCCTGGCGCTCTTCACCCTCAAGCACAACCAGGCGCTCAACACCTCCCGGGCCTGCTGGAAGATACGTCAGCAAGGTCGCGAGGTCATCGACGGCAAGTACACCGACTACGTCGTCTCCAGCATCCGCAACAGCAACCTGCTTGAACTACCGCCGCCGTTATGACTAGAACCGGCCCCCGGGACGAGTCCCGGGGAGGAGACCGACGGGGTGGGGAGACAGGAGAAGACGTCGACGAGCATGGACGTGGGGGGACGGCGGACGGTGTATGTTAATTTTACGAGCCACGAGATTAAAAATTACGAGCAGACGACCACGACCTTGTCCTCACTCCTGCTCTACCCGACGTGCGTGTACGAGACTCACCACCGGATTCACGCGCATAGCGAGCCCGAGAATAAAACGTAGCGAGACCACGTGACATTTTTAACTCTATTTTTCTTTTACCAAACGGAAGACAGTAGACAGAGACTGTGCGAAACTGAACACTAAATAAAACTGCTTTGCGTGTCTGTTTACAGTTTGCTTCCTATCTAAACCGATTTTTATTCTAAAACAAGTAAATACAGAGAATTATTTTGTTTACTAACGCGGCTGGAAACAATTAACATAAATTTTGAGTATATGATCAACCGCTGATTCACCTACCCCATGCTTAACAGCTCTTAATTGGACTGTGAGAAAAAATAAAATAAACATTTTTAATACAGAAAACAAAAATAACAAATACACATACAATTACTTTTTAATTTTAGTTTTCTATTTTTAACTATTTAATGTAAAGAATAATCATTAGGATGTTTTAGACACAAATAAAAGCTTGTAACTTTAAATATGTGTGCGGTTTATTATGCGTTGGTGGCCCTGGGCTGCTGCCCATTCATCCCATTGCTTACATCCGCACCGGTCTGAAGCGCAATCCATGTCATCGGAGCAATTTCCGCTGATTCGGCGAAGAGCTGAGTCGATGATCAGAGAGATAGATGTTCGTGTGTGCTGTCACATGTGAAGGGTGTAGTAGACAAAACAAACTTGAGACTGATGGTTTGAGGACCGGGGGTTGGGGGGGGGGGGTGAAGTGTGTTGTCTGGATGAGCTCTCCCATTGTTGGCCGGACAGACGTGAAGCGTGTTGTCGTGAAGAGTAAAGTGTGAATCGTCTCAACGTTGACAGTCCAGACGTGAAGCGTGTTGTCGTGAAGAGTAAAGTGTGAATCGTCTCAACGTTGACAGTCCAGACGTGAAGCGTGTTGTCGTGAAGAGTAAAGTGTGAATCGTCTCAACGTTGACAGTCCAGACGTGAAGCGTGAAGTGTGAATCGTCTCAACGTGAACAGGCCGGACGTGAAGCGTGAAGTGTGAATTGTCACAACGTGAACAGGCCGGACGTGAAGCGTGAAGTGTGAATTGTCAAAACGTGAACAGGCCGGACGTGAAACGTGAAGTGTGAATCGTCTCAACGTTGACAGTCCAGACGTGAAGCGTGAAGTGTGAATTGTGACAACGTGAACAGGTTGGACGTGAAGCGTGAAGTACGTTACCGGACCTCGTGAAATGTGAATTATCCCATTGAAGAGTGTAGTGCGTTCTTTGACGCGATTAGAGTGAGTTCGCCTTTTGTTGACACGTGAAGCGTGAAGTTTGTTCTCTTGACACGTGAAGTATGAATTGTCACAATGTCGACAGGCTAGAGTAGAACAGAATGAGTTCGCCATTTGTTGATACGTGAAGCGTGAAGTGTGTATTCTTGACACGTGAAGCGGGAGTTCTCCCATTGTTGACAGACGTAAAGCATACAACCGTGACGCTTCAAGCAGAATATTTCCTTAGTTGACCTGACAGAAGTGAAGCTTAAAGCTCGTTCTTGTTATGCTTGTAGTGTGAGTTCTTCCATTTTTGTCAAGCGAATGCATCAACATATATTTTCGCGTTGGCAACTGCTTAAGGAAGACCGATAGAGAATTTGTTGATTATTCAAGGGTCCGAATCTGAGGTAATGAAGGGACAATGACGAGCGAGAAAGAGAATAAATCCGCTCTAGGCGTAAAAAAAACGAAGCTAAATAGTAAATTCTTCATACAATCGTAAGCGTTATGTAAATAAAAATATTTTTTTCACGTAGGGGGGTAGTAAAAATATATTATTAATGTCGTGAGCCGTAAATTTTATACTTTTCCTTGTATATTTTTTTATCACCAGATACAGAAGGATTAACAATAAAAAGTCTAAAATAAACTTATCTATAAAGAATAGAAATGGAAACATTTTCTAGCATTGCGCAGTTTGTAATACGTTTTTTAAAATTTGAGAGTGGTTAGGTTGGGTTAGGTTAGTCTGTTGTCCCTCCTGGGACATAGGCCGCTGCGAAGAGCTTTCCAGGCATCTCTGTCCTGGGCTAGTCTCTCCAACTGCCCCCAGGTGTATCCAATCTTCTTGGCCTGCTTCTTTTCCTTTTGCCCTGTGGATTCCAGGTTAGGGCCTGTTTTGGTGGTGGTTGCAACCAAAACAAAATGTCAAATAAGTGAATATCGAAAGTCCTTTTTGCACATAGTTAAAACAAAAAAAAAATTAATGTAAATTCGAAGAAAACCAAAGGGGTGTGGACTTTTAGCAAACATAAACAAAAAAAAAACTTCTTTGCGATACGTTCTCATCAAGTATTTATCCTTCAAACTATTTCAGATGATTTTCGATAATGACAAACAGATTCAATGTACCTTATTTAAAGTACCCCGTGTAGTTGAAAGTCTCCCTGATGTTTAAATTTATGCTCAACTATCAACCGGAAATTTCCGGCCTTTACAAAAGCGTTCAAAAGCTCCAGACGAGGCTCCAGTCCGCCTGGCTCCTAGCGTGTCGTCTGCTCTGCTCTGATATTAAAACGAGCGCACTGTTTTTTTTAGCCCGCCTTTCAATTTATTCTAAAATGTGAAAAAAAAGACATGTCTATAAATAGAATATCCGCTTCGTTGCTAAATAGCTATGGCAAGTAACGCGTTTATAATTTTTTAGACACTACTTCTATGTAATATATATGTAACACCGTTTAAATATATTGTGTGGTGCTTTATACACTTCGCCATCTTTATCGCAATAAACATTTTCCTTTTTACCGTGTCTATTTCTAACTTTTTTTTCCTCTCTACACACTGTCTTGGTGTTAAGCAATGATCTATTTTAAAACAAAACAATCCCTTCCTTCTTCCTGATGTTTGTTTTCAGCTGTGCAACTTTCTTATTAGTAAGATTTCGTCACAAGCAAGCACTAAACACACGTTATATGTGAACTTTTGTCACTGAGGAAGACCGTATACACTTTGTTTTTTAAATATTGAAATCTCGACCGTAAGGATTCTTGAAGTTAGCCCTGTTTAACTGAAAGGGGGTGGGGTGGGGGGGGGGGGGGTCAATCATCAACACCACCACACTTAGCGGTCTTGTGATGGACTTTGGTGAGCGATATCTTTTGGTGGATTAGTTGCAATATTCTAGATTTGGGGGGGGGGGGGGGGCTTTAAGAAACGTGAAATACAATACGTTTAGTATTTCGTAAATTTTGAACATTATTTAGAAATACGGTTATTTAATCAATTTTTTTAGAGCTGAGGAAAGAGAGAGAGGGGGGGGGGGCAAAAAGAGGGAGGGGAATATTGTGATTTCCATTACAAATGGTTCCATCGTTTTGTAAAAAAATAATATCGATTCTAGGTTGGGGGGGGGGGGATAATTAGGTGACGTAATTTTTTGGACGGCCATAGCATTCGCACCGAGGCTCCCAGAGCCTATTGCTCACTATTTAATTAACTTTACCCTCTAAACCACCACCCACGAGCACGCCATCAACACAGTGTACAGGATCTACTACACATTTTATTCCGTGTCTCAGTTAGTGGGGTGAGGTTAAAGGTCGTCATTATCGATGTACTAATTCATTAGTCAAACCATGTAATTATACACATTAATATGTCTTAGCAGAAGATAAGTGTCGACACCTATACCCACTTTTCTCGATCAGTACTTATACTTTTAATGAGCTTTAAGAAATAATTAATTTTTCCATCTTTTCCAATCGGCTTTACAATTGTGACGCGTTCATAAGAAAACATTAATTTTTAAAAATAATTGTGGAGTTATAATGTAGCACATGATTGTACTATATTTCATTTCAACAGCAAATAGTTAATATTTTAGTTCTGGGACTGTAGACTAGTATACAACTGAAATATTAGTTTTACCTTGTTCATTTTTTTAGCCGGATAATAATACAAATCACATATAAAATATGTTTTGTTTTATTAATAAGATTTCCACATGTAATAAAGTAGGCCCTACATGTCTTAGGCTTTTATAGAAAAAGAACTACTGAAGTAAATCATTGTATTGGCTGCTTTATTTTAATATTGTTTCATTCTCGATATGTTATGTATACTGTTATATGATTTGTTTTCAAATATTTGCGTATTTCTTCATATTCGGCTCACCATTATCATACAGCTTAACAACTGTTCAATGAAGTAGATAACCTTTAAACATTATATTCAGCAAAAATACATTTTTAAATGTGCCAATTCAAGCTCTCGTTGACGTGTAGAGATGTACAATTTTCTTAAGATAGTTGTTAAAAAATAATTTTCGTTTCGTTATGTGTGCTTTTTATTTCAGGATTTTTCCGTTAAAATTTGATGTTGTAGAAGAATATAACGTTTGTTGTCATTAATTGTTTTGCCGTTTTTTTACTGTGGTAGAACAGCCCACCTTGTGATAATCATATATATATATATATATATATATATATATATATATATATATATACATAAAAGTACGTACATACTAATCTCTTGTTTCAGTCATGTATAAGTAATTGTAAATTGCTATTGTTTGCTATTGATGCAATTTTTGTGTCAGCCATTTATTACGTTTCAAGTAGCAGAAGTAGTTACTTTTTTCTACAATAAAATATATGGATTTTACTTACATTAAATTTTTTTTTTTACAATTTTCTTTCAATGTGACGTTTTGTAACTGTCTTAAATTTTGTGGGATTTGTTCACCAAAATTTTGTATGAAAACAAAATCACATTCGTACCGTGCATTTATAAAAATGTAATACCATTATACCACTATGGGTATATTATACTAGAACCGCTTTAAAAAAAAGATGTACACACATCATTATATGGTGTCAATTTAAATCAATTTATTTTTTCAAAAACTTCATCCTCAATTTTTTTGTTTATCTTTATAAATCTATTGCACGTTTTGCACTTAAAGTAAAATTTTTTTGATCTTTTCTGAAAGTATTATGTCCTAAAATAAACATTGACCATTGGTTCACTCTGCTTTGGTCCGTGTGTCTACGGCGCTAGGAATTTCATAAAACTCCCAAACAGAATTCATCATAAATACAACTTTACTATTCCATCAACAATCAACTCCCCCTCCCCAAAGAATAACACATTATTCCTTACTAAAACCCAACAGTATTCATCACACATCCTAACATTATTCCCCACAAAAACCAAACATTCCCGCAAAAAGCAAACATTATTTCACACAAAAACCAAACATTTCCGCAAAAAGCAAACATTATTCCCCACAAAAAGCAAACAGTATTCCCCACAAATCAATGAACATTTATACTATAGTTCTTATTGAATTTAAAACAAAAGCCATATTTGATAAATAAATGGTATGTAAATATTTTATTCACTGTACAAAACGGGAGTCAGGAGACATGTTTATGCTGGATACTAGGTAAGTATGTACATTGGTGAGATATGAAAGCTTATCTTGAAGACAATTACAATGTTGAAAAAACGTGAGCACTTATTTGTTTCACGTGCCCGACACAATCACATATTGCGGACATTGTTCGTTATTAATTAAACTACCTTTAAAGCCAACCAAATTCTAATTTACTTCATACCATAACATTTTAAAGAGATGAAGTAAAAATCATAACTTGATTGTTAACAAAATAAACTTATGTTAAAGAAAGATCCAGTTGTGGATTTAAAAATAAGAACAGGGTTTTAAATAAATTTAATTTAAAGAAAATGTATTCGAGAAGTTTTTAGTATCGTCTGTTTGGTCTTGCAGCAGACGACAGCGCATACTCCGACAGGTAGTAGTCGTTGTAGTGGTCAATGGCGGCAACATTCTGGGTGCGTGGGTCGGGCAGGAAGTAGGGCGCGTTCTCTGTGGGGATGAGAGGGGGAAAAAGTGTGAGTCTATCAATCATTTGTGTTTGATCAGGAGAACATCTCAAGAAATCAGTGAATAAAAAAACATGGGGATGATCGATTATTTTATTTAGCATTTTATTTCTCAGCAGAAATATTTTAAAATTAACATTTAAAAAAATGTTATTGGTGGAGTTTGATCTTTAACAACTAGCATGATACCACCTAACGGGAAGGTATCACAGTGTTCAACAACTGGGTTTTTTTTTGTTGTTTTTTTAAAAACAATTGTACAATTGTAACCGTTGTTTGAATAAATTTGAATAAATTTGAATAAATTTGGGTTAAAAATCTAGCAAAATGTTACAGAAGCAAAATAAAAGAAAATATTGATTACAATACTGGTTTTAAAAAAAATTATCACCTTTGTATACTAGTAACACAAAAAATGGAGTATGCAAGTGGGGGTATGCAAGTGGGGGTATGCAAGGGCGTTACTAAGGGGTAGGATGGGACTGTCAGCCCCCTAAATACCACATTTAGTTTCAGCAGCAGTAAAAGAAATACATGGACACAAGCGATGAAACTGGCGACCCAAGGGAAAACTTGCAGTAAATTAGAGAGAAGAATTAATTTGGTATGAAGAGGGTGCCATGTTAAGATTACCTTGATTATATATGCGAGGGGTGGAGTGAAGGTGGTGGTAAGGGTGAGGTAAGTATAATGGAAGATGCAGTTTTTTCAGGCATCTCCTTGGGGGGGGGGGGGGTACTGACTTCCCCAAGAGAACTCCCTCCCCCCCCCCACATGGACGAAATAGGAATATAATTTATAGATAAAATATATACGAGTGCCTGCCGCGCCCCTCCCCCCCACCCCCCGAAATTTAAGTGCGCCCGCCTTCCACAGAGAACAATGTTTGAAAGAAACACTGTGAAGATTGGGTGGAGATTAGGACAGTTTAGTTTATCCATGAGAACAGAGTTGCAATATTAATATGCACAAGTTGTAATTAAAACCCCAGCCACAGATGTGGGGGGGGGGGGGGGGTACGGGGTTTTGTGAAGCGTTCATTGAACTGTTAGATAACCGATCATTTCCTGGCCAATGCTCATTTGGCCGAGTGTTCTCCACTTGATTTCTCAAGCCCCACGATCGTTAAACGACGGGGCAGGGGAGGGGAGGGGGGTGGGGGAGGTGTGGACAATGAGATAATTACTTCAGCTGATGTTGGCTCATCAGTGTGTTCGCCCGATTGCACTTCGTCAGCTACACGGCGAATTATCATAGCAGCTTTTTATTCATAGGGTTCAAATTTTCAAATCCCTATAACAAAATAATTGTGTCTCGGAGATCTAATTTATAGATTCTAGGTATACAGTAAAAAAAAGGATTAATTTTTTGAAAATTTCGTTTTCGGCATTAGTCTGAATCAGAAAGTATGTCGAGAAAAATTTAATTCATAATCACAATAGACATTTTAGAAGTTATCTATATTAAAAAACTAATTGTAAATAATATACCGACAAAGTTCAGTATGATAGCTTTTAATATATTAAGGTGAAAATAAAGACAAACAAAGATTCTTGGAAGTGAAGTAATATTCGACTGAAACGATAGGTGTGCCTAGAATTTTTAAAGCAATTTTTTAAAACCACACACGCGGTTAGCGAATACAAAATAAATATCCCTGTGGGTTATATAATCAGCCATTTGAGACGAGAAGATCAACTAAAAATACCTAGAACAAATTTCATTTTATAATGCTTAGACTTAGTTTAATTTTCACGAGCCCTAGACCCGACTCCAATGCAGGATGTACAGGGTTTCTTCCAGGCATCTCTTCGGGTGAGCTACGCCCCCCACCCCCACCGAAACGGAATTTATATAGAAAATATTTACTTTTAACAGTGTCCACCTCACCCCCCCCCCCTCGAAAATTTCAAGCCCCCCCCCCCCCCCCCCCCCCTGAGAAAAAAGTCTGCAAGAAACACTGAGACTGCAATCGTAATCTTAGCCATAACAAGACCCATAGCTCTTGAGGCGAATGTGACTCTAAATAAATGATATTGAAATACGTAATTTAAAAAATATATATATGACTACAATTATATCGTAAAAGTATTTCATAATTAAAAATACCAGCTTTGAATGTGGCTGGCTAAATATTTAACAACAGAAATAAGCACAAAATAGCTTCTTCTTCCTACTCCTGATCTAGACCTTTTATGGTAAGACTCAATGCGGTACTATGTTGTCCTGTTAGCGAACTTAAAAGTACCGAAACAAATCTAACATCCGTGCAAACTCAACTGCTAGACAGATGTAACACACTTGTTATTAGCTGTACTCATAGCTACCATACAGTTACGCCACTTTGTCACGCAATGAATCTATTGTGCATGTCAAATCAGGGGAACTAACCGAACTATACGCTTTGAGCTAAATGACTGATCTCCCTTGAGTTGAAAAGGAAAAAAAAACCCTCTAAATAATTATCTCTATACTAAAGGGCATCCCAGACGGGCCATTAATTAAGCTCTCGGTGATGGCAGATATTACTTGAAGCTTAATTAGCAAATAAGGGTAATTTAGCCATTGTTTTTTTTTTGAAAATCTATTCATTAACTCGTAAAAATAAAACTGTAGTGTCGAGGCTTCAGTTTGACTGTAAAAGATGTTTCACAACAATTTCGTTAAGGTAAAGTCTACATTATTATGGCGGCTCATAAATTGCTTCTTCGTTTTTAAAAAAACCTCTAATTACAGGCCTACATATAATTGTACAAAATCATCCTTCATTTTAAAAAAAAATCACTCAACTAAGTGTTCAAATATTTGACCAAATCTCCCAATTATTTTTTTAAAAATCATTTATTGTTCATATGTTTGTCTAAATTATCTATTCATCATAAATTACTAATGATTCAAATCATTAAAAGAACGACCCTATCATATCATTTATCTACCCCTCCCCTTTAAACCCTGTAGTGTAGTTACAATGAGATGTCAGAAAACACTCAGAGGCCCACGGCCTTTCATTGCCGTCTAGAGATTTGTTTACGACCATCGACATGGGCAAATTAAAAGAATATGAACCCGGGGCAGGGCAGTGTACTGGCCTCCCAGTGGTGAAGCATTATACTTGGCCCCCGGGGTAAAAGCAGTATACTCGGCCCCTGGGTAAAGCAGTTTGCTTGGCCCCCGGGATAAAGCAGTATGCTTGTCCCCCGGAGAAAAGCAGTATACTTGTCCTCCGGGATAAAAACAGTATAATTGGCCCCCGGGGGTAAAAAGAATACTTGGCCCCCGGGATAAAGCAGTCTATACCTGGGCCCCGGGATAAAAACAGTATACTTGGACCCTGGGATCAAGCCATATACTTGGCCCTCTGGGTAGTGCATATCGTTAGATTGATCTTTATATTGAAAATTGATTAAATAATTTACCACCGATTTGATAGCAGCCACTGAAGTTATTTATTTAAAAATATTGTGTGGTCTCATTACAATTAGTAATGTGTTAGACTCTAACTCCTGTAAAGGGATTTGTTGATAGATTATTTAAAAGAACAAGTGACGTAGCTAGTACATAGCAAGCACAAGCAGGATAAAAGGGGCTTTTGTTTCTTTTTTGACAAAAGTAAGCATTTAATTTGGAATTTACTATTGAGTTAAAACGTTATCGGGGTAAGCTACTACACAATGATACACAATAAATGTAAAATCAGAATGTATAGTGTATCCTACATATAAAAATAATTTTATTAAAGCCAGTCGTACATTACTTTCCTGGCTACGTTTAACTCCATTACTGGTAGTCCAATAAAGGGGCAAACATAGTCTTTGCATTAGGGCCCGAAAATCCTAGCTACGCCACTGAAAAGAACTTTTTGTAAAAAGTAGAGAAAAAAAACTTTTTTTTTTTTTCGGGAGAAAGATATTTGTGAAGCAAACGATGGGGTCGAGAGGTAAATGAATTATTACCACATGTATTACAGATGTGTGTCTGGAACAAATACATGTAAATATTGAAAATATTTTAAAATATATCACAATTGTTAGTAAACAAAGTAGTCGATAAAAAAGGCTTAGCTAAACAAATGTTTGTATTAAAACGTTAAAGTCTAGCTAGGATATTATTTTAAAAGAAAAAAAAACAGATTGTCACGACAAGAAAGAAAAAAAAAGAAAGAAAAAAGAAACGAAAATGACGAAAATGTAGATCAAGTTCCAATACAACAGACAATGGTTGCCGTGTTGGTTTTTGCACGAGTTAAATATATAACATATAGTATTCATGTGTATATGGGCGCCAGTGCTTTAAAAACAGACCCTCCATTTCTTCTTGA